AAAGAAGACCAAATAGAGTCATTATCACACAATTAAAGAAGGTAAAACAAAGTCTTCTTCATCCCAACATCAAGGGAACAGTCAGGGCAAATGAATAAGACACAGGTGTCATTTTAGCTCCAGAGGGGAGAAACTGATACTCATTTCCTGCTCTTCAGCTTTAGGGTGAAAGAGCAYCAAGTCAGTTATGACTATTGCATATATCTAGAAACCCACATCCAGCTCACCCTCCGAGGTCAGTGAAAGATGGCAGTTAATGCCACCACTAACTCTGCATGTCCACTCTGGGATCTCACAGCTGAGAAGGTTCTTCCTGCCCCGCTTAAGAAACAGCTGCAGGTCAGAGTCCCCTCTCAATTATTCAAACCGACCAGGCTCTACGAAGATCCCCAAGGACAGCAGAGCTATTGCTGCCGGCTGTTTTGCTAGCAATGCACACACCCAAACAAAACCCAGTTACGTCTCCCAAGTCCTAGCAGACTCAGAGAGGTTAACTGCACAAAGCTAGGTCAAAGCAGAGCACCACTGTGGCCAACAGCTCATTGTGATATGCAGTAGGGGAAATCTGATGATAAAATTGGAGCAAGAAATTAGGATGGGGGGAACATTAGCCAACATTTTATCTGCTAYACTTTAGGGCTTCAATTGCAGTTAAAACCACTGCAAAGTTGCTCTGATTCAWGTGGGTTGTTTTATTCTAAGGCAGTCTGCAAGATCAGATTGTTACACTTTCACAAAAAGTTTCTAGATAACCATTAAAGAGAAGCCCTCAAAATGAATCATTTTGATTGCTCCCAGTGGAAGAGAGGCCCATTCAGTTAAGTTGCCTGTCAGTAACCTTTCTCTTCCTTCCTTTCCCCAACGAGTTTGGGGTATGTTTTACAATTTGCCTGAGGTTGTCCACAGAAGCAGAGAGCTCCTCAGATATTATTTCCTCATAATAATCCATAGGAGAGGCAATTAGGTTAAAATCCGCATGYTCAAATAGAGGAGTTAGGTCTCACACACAACACTGCATAAATAGGAGAGCCAGCCTGGCTTTTTAAATTCAGCTGCTTACGTAAGTGCTTGTTTTCCTTTAAATTAAGCATCCAATTAGCTGATCTTTAGTACAAACCCTCTTCCTCCTCTCTGGAGTTAACCTGCACTTCACCAAGGCAACACCCATGAGCAGAGGTCATCTACTGCAGCAGACACAGTCAGAAAAGGAGAGACTGTCTCTTGGGCTTACACATCCAAAGCATGTCTCTGCACGTTGATTTCCTGATGTTGCCCAAAATGTACCAAGGGTTTCCTAGCTCTCTATCTAAAGTTGCACACTGGAAACCATTTTTGTGCCTCCATCTTCTCTTTTCTTGCTTTAAAATCTGACACATTTCGAGTACAGCATCTTATGATAAATACTAAAATATTTTTAAATTAAAATAGCAAATGCCAGCAGCCAGACCTGGCAGGAGAAGCCAGCTTAGAACTGAATATTTTTTTTTAACACAACACAAAAAAAAATCTGGATCCAAGATTAATAATGAACTTAACATGAAGGTCCACTTTTTTCTTTCTCTTCCAGTTCACAGTGTACACTGCTCCCCTCTCTTCCCTGGCTATTGCCACCTCAGGGAACCACAAAGCATGAAGGTGCCACTGCTCTACCAGAAACTTCTGAGTTTGCCTCACTTTGCACATTTGAATTGGTCCACTGCACTTAGGCTTGCCCTGGTCCCTGAGCGCACATAAGTCACTGCAGTTAGCACCAGTAAATGAAAGTTTAACATCTGCATGATGCAGAGTTCAAAAGGCAAATGAACAAGGGGAGGGAAGAGGATTACAAGCAGCTAAGGAAATGTACTTTTGAGTATGCAGCAGAGTAAGTACAACATTTTACTAATACGTGGAGAAGGACAGCTTTGGAGATCAACTAAACCAGTTGCTGAAGGAAGCTGAGGTACCCTTTTTTTACATRTCCTACTTTAAGGACACTCTCAGACTCTTCCCTAGTCACTTATGTGACATGCAATGTGTGTCCTGCTATCCAAAGCACACCAACCAGCACAATTTTGCAGAAGACTTTCTGAAAACCCAGAATRAAAGCAATGCCCACTACCCTGCAGGACACTGTTAGGGATCCCCAAAGCAATGAAGCTCCAACAACACGCATGGATGTCAAGACACTTCYACAGCTGAAAAAGTTATGCAAAGGACTAAGCACAGTTTTCCCCTGCACAGTATGAAGAGAAAATCCAATACTCTTTATCCCCCTTTACTACCTTTCCCTCTACTTAATCTCCCTTACAGGAATCATTCTGTTTACAAACCCCAAAAACATCTAGAGCAGCACCACTACACAAAGAACAAAGCTTCCTCCCCCAGCTCCATACATGTACAGGATGATCTCTATAGTGACACAGGGAAATTGTGGACAAATCAAAGCAGAATACCTAAGAAAAAAATGCCTGAAGCCAGAGGAGTCGTGGTCTAAGGGTACAAGTCTCTAACATTTTGCTTGGGTGTACAGACACTGTTCTCTAGAGCAGCTGYCAAGCAGTACAGGACTACAGGAGGCACAGTAGAAAACCCAGCTGCAGGTCAGGAGCATATGGGATACTTTGTAGGGAAGTTTCACACACAGGAAGATATCACTGAAAAGACGAAAAGTTTCAGCCCATTAACAGCTGAAGTTCAATAAGAATACAACCCTGACTACTCTAGAGAGTTTTAGTCCTGGTAAACTTCCAGGTCAAGAAACTACAGCCTCTCCAAAGCAATTTTGAATGGCTAGAGGTGGAGGAGCCTTCCCTGCTCCTGCTCCACTCCACACAACTGCTTAGAGCTGTTTCTGATCTTTGTGTGTCCATTACAGAGACAGCTGGTGGGTTCTCAGCAGCAACGGGCCAAAATACTTAGGTGGTTGGAGCCTGATTCTCGAGCAGTTCTACACCAGCAAAACTGCCTGTCCTTATGGAGGAGAACTTGGTTTACATCAGCACAGCTGAGAAGGTAGAATCAGAAAGGCACATTAAACGTTCAGGAGGAAGTGGAGGTTATAGGCCATGTTCAGCTTCACTGAGGAACAAATGCATCCAAGCTCTGGCTAGAAGGATGGGGCCTGTGAGGAAGGACAAGTTTTACAAACAAGTGCAGAGGGAATGTATATGGGTGAAATATGGGCTCCTACAAATAAAACAGAAACCACAGAGCTACGCAAAGCAGACCTTCCTAGAAACCAGATATTATCTTTTTGATACTCGCCCTCATTAGACAGCAAGTAATAAAACCTATTAGTGAAAAATTCATCTCCCCTGCCCCTTGCCCTGGCCCACCCCCACCACATGCCCTCCTGCTCTGATCCTCTCTCTCTTCTAGGATGGCTGTGATTTGTTCTGAGAAGCGACAGGTTTATAGGTTAGCCGACACCTTCTCTCTGTGGAATTTTAATTAACTTCTCCCATCGTCAATATGTTAAGGAGCAGGGTTCCCATTATACGAGGTCAGCAGCGTGTTTCGGGCCCTGCTATATCAGCCGTCAAATTGAAGAATTAATGACGTGGCTAATTGGCTCTAATTCTCCACACCCCCCTCCCTAAAATATGGAGGGGCATGAGGGGGGGTGCACTAGGGCGGGCTAGTGGGAGAGGCTGGTACAGTCCACAGTGTCGTAAGAAAATCAGAGTGCACAATTTAAGCCCACTTGTTCATGGGATAGCTGTTCCACCACCTCCAATTTATCACCCTGCRGGGAGGAAAGGGGGGGTGGGGAGACTGAGGGTAAATATTGTGACAGAGAGTGTGCACAAGCGTGCACACCAGGGAGAGGAAMATTGTCCTAACAAGGGGCCACATCAGTAGGTCATCACTTAGGAGTAGGAAGCAGCATGCCACTGGGGCTCTAACCAGCCACGGTGCCTGAGCCACAGCCTGTCTGCCAGAAATGGGGCCCTTGCAGCTCAGAAGACAGCAAAGGGCTTCTATCTCACATGCAGCAGCATGAATGCACATGGCACTTCTTCAGAAACATTATCTGTCTCAAACACTCGGAGCAAAGGGACAAGGAAACTGCAAAATCATAGCAAGCCTGGAGTGTCATTTCCCTGATAAAGCCATTAGCTCTGTACCACTAAGTTTCTGCTGCCTGCAGAACAAGCTTGGAAATCTAAAARGGACAGCAGTTCTGGATAGTATTTTGGTTTTGCACAAGCCTAAAATGCAGAAATTGCAGACATCCCATGAGCAGCAGTAGCAGYTCTTCCTCCCYTCTTCCTTGAGGTATGCTGAGGAAKAAGCTCCCTTGCCTGCAGAAGACCAGTTTAACATGGAATCAAAAAATAGATCATTGCTGGTTGTTGTAAGATTTTAGTGAGAGTTTCTCAGATTTCCACTTCCTTCACAAGAACGGGGGCACTTTAAAAAACACCCTGGAAGACACTGGTGTATGTATTGCCCTTGCCTCCCATGCTGAAGTTGTAGCGTTATGCTTGCACTAGGAGCACAGAGCTACAGGCAGTAGAGGCTGGCAAACCTCATCCCTGAACACCACTTCAKCCTTGCCAGTTCAACATGTTCAAAGAAAACTGAGTTCTAACCACTGCATACACCTCTCAAGTAGGGACCTTTTTGCWCAGCATCTCTTCTGCCAGAGAATGAGAACATAAGTTGGCATCTTTTCAGCACAGAAAATGTCAAGAGGATCCAGCTCACTGTTTCTAATTAGCAAGTCAGCGTTCCTTTGGCAAGGAAGAATGAACAAGGTCCCATCTGAAGTACTAAGAGGAACCCAGGGCCACCTTCACAGCTTCTTTATGAGTGGAWCACTCTGCTGGTATAGGAAGTAAAGACCATGTGCTCTTCCCTGAGTTCCTGCTGCAGGCACAAGCACCTGACCAGCCTCCACACAAATCAATTCCCTGAACTGTCACATTGGTGTCTCAGAAAGATTTGTGGACATATAGTCTATCCAACTCCTTTAYTTGTCTCTGCTGGAAATTGGGAATAAAGAGGTCTGTTACCTTAATAATGGGCTGATAGCAATGGACCACACTCGATCCTCTGTCTGYACTGTATGTAGACACTGACCCACTCTGCCCGCGGACAGGGACCAAACCTAAAGAGAGAGATGCATGTTATGCCACATCACCCCAAATTGCACAAAGTAAGATGTACGCTCCTAATGTTGTGCTGGAAGAGCTGCCCAAACTGCCATGCTTACCTTCCCTGAGACCCTCTCCCTGAATGTCAATTTCTTATTTTTGGGGAGCAGAGCTTTTAATTGCTGGCAGAAACAAGCACTTGAAGTCAACCAAAGAGTCAGCTTTAAGTATAGCCATCCACCCTCATCACCACTTACTCTCTAAGGCAGCACTCAAAACGAACTCCCCATCTTCTGTAGTTAAAGAAACAAGAAGTAGGATTTGCTCAAATCTGCTCTGTTGAGCAGTGTGGGAAGACTTTGAAGCATGCCTGAAAAAATTCCATTAATATTAAGTATGTTAATCATTCACTGGCCTGTAAAATAATCTTCTTTTATAAGTCCCCCACTTTAGACAAAGTTTCTCAAGTGCAGCCCAGGCTTTTTGCAAATAGACCCCCCTTGCTCACTGACAATGTGASAGAATTCCTTCCCTCCCCCAACAGTGCAAACATGTACATCCTCTTCCACCAGTTCACCCCTTTGTTTCTGGGCCCTAATAAAGGCCCCAAAATTCTTGCTGGGGCGTCGCTTGTGGCCCTCATTTTCTCCACCTTGCCATCATTCTTGGCCTRTGGAACTCAAGCCCCCCAGTTGTCTGTAACCAACCCCCAATGTTTCACTTCAAGACTTCAAAGCCGGGAGTGCCCTATTTGTTTGTTTGTTGATAATGCCCAGGATTGCAGGCTATTCTTGTCAGCGGGGAATTTAGCACCTAGTGTCAGCAAAAGCAGCAGAAAAGCTTAACTCCTTTAAGGCATCCCTATCTCCTACAGGTTAAAAATATTGCTCAGAGCACACTATCTGCTGCCTATCACACAGGAATGTACATTAGCAGCTCTTCAGGGCTTAGTCCTAATCAACACTCAGCAGAGCCCTCAATAGTTAGACACTTAGAGCCCCTTTAAAAGGTTGGTAGGGATTCCCTTCCACCCTCCAAGAGTCTCATTCACGCAAACAAGACCTACAAAAAGAGATGATAAAAAATAAGAGGTGAACATCCCCAGAGTATATGCTGTGGGGAACACTGGGTGGGCAAGATCTCACACTAGCTCTAAGAAAAACAGCTTGAAATTCCCCTCTGGCCTTCAGGAATTTGTTCTCAAGGTYGGGGATGTCTGTCCTCCAGCTGTCAGAGAAGTTGCAAGAAAGCACTCTCCCAGAGAAGAGGATCCACAGACCAGAGAGGAGCAGCACCGCTAAAGTGTGAGACAAAATAGCATCAAGGTCTTGCTCCCAGGAGGCAAACAGCAACCCCAGAACTGCCTTTTGCATCTGAACATTGCTTTACTTGGAAGTGATTTTACCCAGGAGTACATCTGTACAGAGGGACCAACAAAAATAAACCAGGTCATGCTGCTCCACACACTTCCTATAAAACCTTGAAAGAGACATTTAAGTCTTGCCTTGCTTCAGTTTCCCCTCTTGAAAAGAAGGAATTAGCTGTCTTCCTCTTACCTCCATCAATGCTCCATGATATAAATCAGGGACCAAGAGTATCCATCAGGCCACCCAGAGCAACAGCCAACATAAAACATTCAACATACAGCAACCACTTCTAACAATAAAACAAGTGGTTGTGAAGACGCTTCAGGTACTGCATCATGCTAGCAGGACAAGGGTGAAACATCTGCCTAGAGTTTCCTAAASTTATAAAGCAGAGCTGGTTACAGCTCAGAAGAGCAACTCTCTAGGTCCACACAGGAACAGAGCATTGCCAACCAGATCCAGAAGAATCTGTGACAGGACCCAGTGATCCCAACTAGAAGAGAAAAATGGGAGCTAACAATATTCGTAGCCTAACTTCATTTCTGGTTTGCAAATGAAGAGCCATTAAAAAGAAAAAAAAAGCAACGAAAAAGCCCACACACAAATAAATACACACACCACAAAACTAGTAAATAACCACAGATTTGGAAAAGACATCATGCCATCCTTTACAAAGATTGCCTATAAAACAGAGAGCATGTTAAACCACACTGCAATGTTAAATCATAAAACAAGGATGGGTTTGARATCCACACAGTGAATTTCACACTAACTGGCATGCATCTTCACTACAGTGCAGATAAATGTACAGGGAAGGAAACAAAATATCAGCTGCTGCCTTCTGCACGTCCAAGTCTAAGCCAGCAGCTGATGCTGTAAATTACTGCCAAATTTCTTTCTAACAAGCCTGGCAGAGCAAGCATCTTTTCAGAGACATGAGCCTATGCCAAGACAGTCAGCAATCCTCCTACAAGGAGTACACGGCTCACAGCAGCTCTGCTGAYACTTAAATATTCATGGCACAAGACCTCTGAAGTCACCTCTACAGCAGCACCTGCAGCTGCTGAAACATTCCCTGCTCACCTTTGCTGTTCGGTCCCGGGAGCCACTGACAATAAGGCCACCTTGGAAGTCCACGCAGTTCACCTCCTGCTCATGTGCAGAGAACTTGACGCTGTAGGAGCCATGGATCTTGTGAAGGACAATACTTCCATCTCTGAAAAACAAATACAGAGGCAGGGTATCTGTATCAGCTGCATCTCCCTTGGATATGCACCTTCCATTAATGCTTTGGAGTGCTACAAAAAGACCAGGACTGGTCTCTGACAGGCTGAAATTCATGCAGCATTATTAACCCTCCACTCTTCACACATCACCTATTGCTTACAATTCCACATCTGGCCAGTCAAAGCCTGATCTGATGCACATGAAAATGTTCGTGGCTACCTTTCCACCCTCCACTTTGTGTTAAGCTGCAGTACCTATAGCAAAGCAGCCATTCTTCCTCCTACTGCTTTGAGCTTGCCAGAACCCTGTCTGTATGCTGAATGGCTGGAGTAAGGGAACAAGCGAGAGGACATTCTAACCCATGTCCAAGCCTCAAGCTTTTAATTTATTTCAGAGAAGCCATACAGAGTGCTATGCTTTGAATTAACTACATAGACATTTAGACCTTTTTCAACCAACACAGTTACTAGAATTTTAAATGCAAGCTTTCATTTCCASCTGAATTTTAGGCTACAGCTCACGGGAGAAAGTCACGATACTCAGGGCAGATAGCCATGCTTGTATCTCCCAGTTCTGTGCTTAACTGCTGTGTATATTTAAAAAGTTTTAGCTATTAATAAAAGTCCTGTCATTTGCTGTAACTGAAAAAGGCCAGTCAAATGCAAAATTAATTGGAGAAGTGTGTATGTGTTGGAATGCTTGGCAGTTTTCCCCCTCTCCACAATTATATCAGTGGGTCTAATAAACACACACTTGTCTCTAGAAAACTTTCTGCACCAYTGCAATCCCAGCTAACCAGCTAATCAATAATCTAATATTGATTACTAGAACAGCCTAGCTACCCTGGCTCTAACAGGGAAAGAAATAAAACTTGCACAGCAATCAGGTTTCCTGATATAACAATCTGTGGACACCCACACAAGTTTACAAGAGTAAAGGACGCTTTTTAAGGTCAACATCCTGAGACTCAGCTCCTTCACTGCTGCCAYAAAAGCTTTTTCAGGCCAGAACCAAAATTATAAGAGAGGAAGCAGCAACAGCTGACCACAGCCAATCAAGAGGACACTGTGTAGCAAGACTGGCCCCTCTGCTCTGTGCTGGAGTTACACAGAATCCATCCACCTTCAGTGGCAAAACCCTTGGGCTCTTTCATTCATCCAACTCACCCTCCTCCACTGACGATGTGCGAGTTGGCAAGAACAAAGCGACACACATCCTCCTGGTGGCCTGAGAAGATGGCTTGAGGGTGACGCTGCAAACCTGTCCCCTCTGCACACAGGTGGTAAGCATGGATATTCTCYGCTTGAGACAGGTAGAGATACTCGCCATCCAGCTCCATCCAGGGCATCAAACTGCAAATAGACAGCAGGTTGGGGGCTCGCAGGARTGGAGAGAAGAAAAAAACCAAAACAACCTCAYATATAAAAAGAAAAAATATAAACGTRTCAACAAAAACAAATGCCTACTCAWAAAAGGTGAAGTTGAAGCAGCAGGTGACAYRTAAAAGCCAGGCTTAATATAGCAGCACAGCTACAAGTGAAGCTTCTCCAGCAACATAGAAAGCAGATTACATTGCTGGCATTTTTCTAACCAGGAAAAACGAGGAAAAGGAATCTTTGAAAAAGAAGATGGCCAAMAGTCTAGTGAGCATAGATAGGAAATACTTAAGGGCCCCAAAACCTGCACACAAGCTCTGTACCTTTTAAAAAACTGGAACTCTGGTGTTGGTGAGCTATGCCAAGCATTTCTAAGACAGTATTCAATATGAGGCTGTTGGTGCAAACAGTCTTGATCCTGAACACTATTTGCTGGTGCCCAGCAGAGACCACAAAGCTGTCACTGTTCCACAYACCTCTGAGCAGGGGAACATGCCACCAGAATACCACAGATCTTCCTAGAGACAGAAAGTCACCCACCTCCTGCACTCTGAGGTTACCTAAGAATTTTATGCACATATGTAGAGGTATTTTTCTACATTCACACCTCTTCCACTGCTGAGCCAAAAGATGTAGAGCAAGCTCTTGATTTCTCTTGCCCATCTTTTAGAAAAGGCCACACACCTTTTCTGTCCCCTGCTTTATGTGGGACAGTGGCAGTYCCCTATGGACAGGCTCCAGACCAAGAGCAGTGAAGCCAAAAAAAACTATTCCAAAATATTTTGAAGACTGATGTTACAAATGGAAAATATGCTTTACTTTCTGGAAGACCAAGAGAAGACACTCAAGCAATGTCTGAATCAWGTCTATCATCTCAACAAGTTTATTTATTCTTGAAACAAAACCAAAATACAGAATAGGCTACAATAAACACTTAGACAGTGAGATCTTTGCTCAAGATTTTGCTTTTGTGTAGCCACCAGACAATCAGCAAAAAATACTTCTAGATATAGCGAGACCAGATACAAAGACACATGGGGCTTATGTCCCATTGGGCATGGATATGTGAAATTGTCTCTGCTCTGCAGTCATTGCCARGCGCACCACTGCCCATGGAAACACTGAGCAAATCCAGAGCCTTTCTATAGAACAGCCTTTCAGTTTTCAAACCATTCAAGAACAAATGGCTTTGAAAGGAGGGGTGCTTCTCATAAAAATCTGTCTCCCTCTTTTCTTCAGATCATTTATCCTCAGAGGCCATGATTTTCTGTGTCATCAGTCTTTACACACAGCCCTATCTTGTAACATCACAATGAAGACTAGAAACAAGCAAGAGGACAAKATTGCTCATTAGACAGAAGGTTCCTGCTTGTCTGTATTCATCTCCAGTAACAGGCTTTTAATCACATGGGCAAAGCARTTGAGTTTATAATGTTCATCTGGGACTTGATCATATACATGGAAAAAGTAAGAGGCATCTTTAGAACAGGAGCTTTGGATTTAGGGAGGCTTTGATTTCCCCTTCCTTCCTCCACTCCTACGCAGTCCTCTAAAAGCAAGTGAATATCCAGCTTACCTAGACTACAGCCAGTTTCTGTGGCTCTTCTTTTACAGAAGTTTAGCTTTTTACCTTTTTCTATGACTTTTTCATAAGGAGAAGTAACAAATCTGAAGGCGGATAAATGAAAATTGGGGGATGCCATTTGGATGGTGGCCTCATTAAATCAGTCCTTGCCTTTTCACTTGGGTAGCTGGTTTAGTAATGATCTCTAATATCCACAGAGCTTGTCTTCACAGATGGTTGCAAGCACTTCAAAGGCAGGTATACAACCTGCACCAAAACCCACTCTGCTCATTACAGCTGTTCCCAGGACTTTACACAAGAAGTGGCACATTATCCAGCACTTCAATCTACGCAGCACAAAAAGGCATGAAAGCTCAGTAGAAGGTCCTTGTTCTTCAGCAGATAACAAACCATAGACTTTGTCATTTTTCCTTCAGTCTGATGATGGGAAGGCTGAAAACGTAGATGTGCTGCTCAGACCAGAGACTTATCTTATGCTTTGCTTTGAAAGCTGAGTACATCTTTGCAAACAAGAATTTAACAACAAGCTCTGGTCATTAATGTCACATATACTTTTTTTCACGTGAAGGAGAGAAGCATAAGGTATAAGAATGAAGAATTAAAAGGCAGAAGAATGGCAATGAGCATTTTAGATTTGTACATTCAAATTAGGAGCCAAGATAAACCACTGGAGACAAATGAAGCATTTTGAGAGAGCACCTAAGTCCACAACTGGGATCAAGGTGTGCTCATTGTGAGAGCAAGACAGAAGGTTGCTCATGGTATACAGCAGTAGACACAAATGCAAAGAGTTTGAAATATGTAGTAAAGATTGCTAAATGCAACTAGAACTGTACATATCAGAGAAAAGACAAATTCAAATTACTAAGAAAGAAACTCCTGAAACTCAGCATGAATCCCTAGGGCAAGGCAGCAGCTCCAGTTATCCCAAACCCAGCTGGCCAGCAACAGCCAAAATAAAACAGCAACAATCACCGGCGAGACCCCACAGATCACAAGGAGCAGGAAACACCTCATTTCAGGGCACAGACACAAACCCAATGTCCCACAGCAGTCGTTACATAACAAAGAAGAGAAAGAAACTACTTGCTTGCATTTCCATTTCAGGAGYGTCTCCCTCCGGCAGCGTCCATACCTCCAGTTCTGAGACACCTTCACCCTCTCCTTCACTGGAATGCCAGCAGCTCTGCAGACAGAGGAGAGATGAGATTAGAGACGAGATTTTGATGCTTTCTGGACAACAAATGCACTTAAGGTGGCCACAGGTAAGCTCTCACACTAGTTCCACAATGATGAACTGATGGTSCCAGAGCCACACAATAATGATCATATTCATGAGAGCTGACAAGAAAGGAACACTGAGAAGAGCGGGGGATTATCAGCAAAGAAAGCCACCTCCAATGATCACAAACCTTAAATATGATCAAGACTTGATCAAATATACTGAATGCAGCACAGGTTCAAATGAACTGTAATCAAAATAGAATGACACAGAAAGAAACCACCAGAAGAACCAGAGATATAGGACATCACCCTTTTAACAGAGACTAAAAGCAGCCATTTAAGACAAGGACAATGCCACACAAGAACAGATGGAGAAAACTGTGTGTCAGGARAACACTGAAACAGGAAGCCAGGCTGTCTATCTGGAAGGACTAGTAAAGAAACTACTCCAAAGCCTCACCTGTCTGACAATCACATAACCAGATACAATAATCAGAAATCAAGATGTGTTCAAACTAAAGATAAAATACATTCTTCTGTATAAACCACCCAATGCACACACACCCCAAGACAAACTATCTTTTGCAGGAGCTCACCAAAGGGTAGAGAATTCTGGCACATTGCTCGAAAATTCTCTATTTGCAGACAGACAAAGCTACTAAAAGAGAGATTACAGCTCATAAACTGTTGCTGGATTACAGATCAAAGTTATTGGGATGAGCTGAGACAAACCAAGATCAATACTCTTGAAGATGTGACAAAAAGTAGGTACCACAGAGACCTGGAACAAAGGTCTCTTGAGAGTCTACAAGAGCACACCCAGTTCAAGCAGCTGTTCAACAACTGTTTTGCTTTCATAATCCAGGGTTGATTAAAGATGGGGGGAAAGGCAGCTTTAGCTCCCATCTTTTTCATATCATAAATTTAATTGTTCAATATCCTTGCTGGAGCTGCTGAGGCAGAAAAGATCAGAAGACAACAAACAAAAAAAAAAAAGCTCTATAGGTTACCTTTTGTAACCAGGGGTTGCGAACCACTTACTAGACTACAAGAGCTTATCCCACTTTCATGCATTTCTCAACAGCTAACGTACCCAGATGCATAGGATGAAGGGAAGATCCTTGAGAGAGGGGAATTGGTGCCTCAYTAGAACCAGTTCCCTACTCTCATCCCTATAGTCCCTGCAATCCATTTCCCAAAAGTAGCATTTTGGGTACTCTGTCATTTTTAAAACAGAATTCAGCTCCCTGTAAATAAACATCTCCTGTTGTTGTTAATGGGTGTAGGAATCTCTAACCTGGCCCTGGGGTCTGGCCAGATTCTTATTTTCCCAGCCTTCCTTCCATAGCCTCAGGCTCCTTTTTTTTCTGCTCWCCCTTCCCTCCTCTTTTCTATGCTTTCCGGCACTTAGTCACCATTATAATTTGACTGCATTCCTGGGCATGTGACCCATTTTAAACAAAAACAGAAACCACACACAGAAAAGCTTTTCATCCTCTAAAAAGCTTTGCAACTTTACGTTTATGATCAGTAGAGCCACACCAATTAAAACTGAATTCAGAAAGCTACAGGCTCTTTATTTTTTATAACTAAAAACAAACAAACAAACCCAAAATAGAGTTAGACTAGGCTGCAAGAGGAATTCCTTTTTAAAAGGGAGCACTTGCAGGAGCTCCTGTGGCCAGATAGTGTCTGAGATGAGTTCAGAACTGAAAAGTCAGGTCAGGTCCACTCTCATCATTGCTTATTACTCTCCCAGACAGAGTTCAGGCTCTCCGCCTACATCCAATTCCATCCATTACTCTAAAACACTTCTACCTACACTCAGACCTTAGTTAAGTTCTCCCTACATGCGGATTTYAAGTCACCATCTTGTGTGATGGAAAACACACTCATGTCAAAACCCCCTCCCAACTCACGCTGGCCCAACCAGACATTCTGAGCTCAATGCATAAACCCTACTAAGACTAGATATAATTTCCAAGGGTCTGAAAAAGGTGACTCCAAGGTCAAAAAAGCAGCCTCCATCTTAYCCTGCTGATCCCTTTTCTAGCTGGGGGGAGGCCTTTACCCTCATGCTGCTGAAAATGGAAATTCAGAAGAGTCACATTTTGGTTTGGCCCAGAATACCAGTTCACTACTGCAGTTACTCCTAACAGGCACCTCGTTCTTTCCCACCTATCAACAGTTCAGTCTGGAAGGGATGAGGGTTGGCTGGGGAGAACTATATGGGGGACATCTGTTGGGACTTTGTGGGGGGTTGTTTTGTCTTTTTGTTTGTTTTACTCTTAATAGATAGATTATTCATTCGGCCTTCCTCCTCCATATAGCAACTCTGGAYCCAGTTAATTTAAACATGCCTTAAAAGTATCCTCATTTTATTTTCCAGACATTCTATTTATTCAAAATAGAGGCAAGAAAGGGGACAGAACATATGGAGAAAGATGATGTAGAAATTGGACTGACACATCCCTCCCCTTTGCCAGTTATAGGACAGCAAAGACTGAAGTTCAGAGTTGGTCAGAGACATTTGATTCCTTATACCAGAAGTTAAATCAAGCYCAGTTATGGAATCAGGTGCTGAGATATAATTTGATAATTTGATTTRCTTCCTCAACATCCTCTGAGCATCCCTCAGAGCAATTCCCAGAATACATCAAAAAATGTGATGAGCATCACTGCAATGCTTGGGAACAATTCTCAAATCTTAGAWAATAAAAAAGGGCACCACTATATAAACTTAACGATTTGATGAAAAATTCCTGTTCCTCCTACAAGAACCTGTTTGCTTTCAGTCATGATCAACAGTTTCTACACTTGCAAACCTTTAAGAATTTTTCCATGATGACCTGAAGCATTTTCCCATGATGACCTGAAGCAATCAACAGACATCATACATCTGCACTGAGTGGTTGACTTAACTGRGTACCTCTCATTTCAGCAACTGCGTTGAATATCCAAAGGTTCAGCAGATTGAACCACCTTATGAAGTTAAATGCTATATAAAATGCAATGAAGGGAACACTATCCACTGATCAATGAACCCCTTAATCTTTCTTAGTATGCAATCCAGCAAAAGACACATGCTTAAAATTCAGCACATGCTTAAGTACTCAGTGAAATCAAGATCTTGGCATTCGTATTCCCAGAAAAAGCCACCCAACAGTGAACTACACGACTGCTGAAGGCTGACTCACTGGGGAAGGACTGCTATTTTTATCAGGACCTACACAGGTCTGCATCAGAAAGCAACTGAGGTACAGTCCAGCATCCTAGAAGGATGACAGGAAAAACAAGATGAAGGAACCAGTGAACACTGATTATGAAAATTCAAAGAAATTCAAGCAAAATGTTCTTAAAGCACTATTAGAGTGCATCATCTTACATCTCTGCTAGGGCATCACAATTATCAATATCCAATAAAGTTACATTATTCAGGACATGCAAGGCTGCCTTTGTTATTATCTAATTACCACCAAAAAACATYCTATCAGGATCCCAAATCATGTAGTGCAATGCATGAGCTGAGCCAATCCATGTTTCCAATCCCATCCACTCTTAATGGAAGCTCCCTTAACAAAGACTTTGTTATACTAAGAAAGAGAAGCTCAACGTTTCTTACAGCCTGAGAGCTCCAAGAGAAAAGTCATCCCAAGCAACCCATTATAAAGGATTTTTCATTTCCCCCTTCCTACCTCATCCCACTCTACAAAAAAAGCTAGAAGTATTTTGCTCAAATTATGAATTTCCTCTCTTTCTTGGCCCAGTTACCAAAAGAAATGCAATATTCCTTCTGGAGCTCACTCCCAGCTGCTGAAGTAAGAGACTGGAACTGTCCCCACACAGTACCACTGACCCAGGTGACCTCAGCTACCAAGGCAGTTGCTGGCCTGGGTCCCAAAAGAAAGCAATGAAAGAATCACTCAGCCAGGGCACATCACCTCCTAAAACTTCCCCTCCAACAGATCTTGCCTTCAATGATCCCCTCCCCAGCCAAAGTCTATTGCCATCAGAAATGGTATTTCTACAACAGTGAGAGCTTCTGTGCTGTATTGCATCCCAGGGAGATTTCTGCTGGCTGTCTACAATTTCAGCATGTGCCAAAACACTGGTGCCTGCAACAACATAGACCATGTTACGGAAGATAACACCAACACGTCATACCGTGTATTTTCCCAGCTGTATGGGGCATCCTACTCCACCAAAGTCCTTCATGTTTTGCTACATTTTAAGTACTGAAGAGCTCATCTGGAAATGCAAGTCTGAAGAGACCTGCTGAGACTGAATTTCTTCTGTGGACARAATCTGCTGTCTGCAGAAAAGCTGTCACCAGCCTGCCTGAGGCCTGACTGGAAGGGTCATACAGAGAACAGGTCACAGTGGCTAAGCCCCACTTTCAACCTTGGCCCTGTGGCAAGGCTGGCTAACACAGGGACCAACTGCACTTATTTGTGTAATCGGGACACACCTGTTGAGTGATGGGGGCTCAGTGCAGCTACAAGTCATGGGCCACCAACAGACACCCRAGAGGGAAAAGCTATTTATGTCAGGAGCTCCTGTTGCTGTCCTCAACAACTCAGCTAGCTTTCAAAATGTCTCTTCCAGAACAAAAAATTCCAACTGGATTCCTTTAGCACATGACCCTTATTCAGCTTACTGCCATGTTCARCCTGTCTTCTGTGCTCCCCCCTCCCCACAGGGCATAGGTTCAAATAATTCCAAGATGCAAAAGAGCTCTGCCGACTGTTCTCTCACTGTTCTTTGYTTCCTCTGCTGTGACCATGCCATCTCAGATGCTACCACGCTGTCAACTGCTCACCAAACAGCTCTTGTGAACAAGTCACCTCATGAAGAAGGCAGAGGCAGTCATAATACCCAAAGGTGCAAACAAATTTCTCTACACACAGCAAGGACACACACTTTCACAAAGGATTCCCAAAAAAAAACATCACCACCAAGAGT